GAGCACCCGGCGCTGGGCGGCCTGCTCCTCGCCCGCCACCTCGGCCTCCTCCTCGCCGGCCTCTGCCTGCTGGGCCACGGCCCCGCCGCCCACAGCCAGGTCTGTGGGTCCCTTCACCTCCTGCTCTCCGGTGCCGGTGTGGGCACCCGGCTGTGCCAAAAACGCGTCAGGGCCACCAGCCTCGCCAGAGCCCATTCCTCATGCTCCATGGCTGAGCCCATGGCTGTGCTGGGCTCCCGCTCACTGATCCCATTGGCAGCTCCCATGCTGTGCATGTTAATCTCCATGACAGAGAAGAGATGGGAGCTCGGCGAGGGAATGGAGGGGCACTGGCACACGGTTGGGACCGCTGGGTTTAGCACCGGCAGCTGGGCTGCCCTCACCACCCTGGGGTTTGTTTTTTCCAGGGTGTTTCGGAAGCAGAGAGAGCGCGGTGCCGGGAGGCCCTGCGGCAAGTCCTGGACCGCGTCTACCAGCCGCTGGCGGTGCGGGAGCTGCTCGTCCTGCAGGGCCGGCCCAAGCAGGTACCCGGCGGCAGCGGTGCTGGCCCCGGTGCAGGGTGCTGGGGATGTGTACTGCCCACGGTGCTTGCTCACGCGCCCAGGATGCCTTTGCTGCTCTCCTAGAAGTGTTCTTACACCTTAAAAAACGGTTTGGTGCAGCACCCCATGTCCCCAAATGGCGTGTGAACGCACGGGAGAAGTTGCTGGGTGTGCGTTGCTCGTGCGGTAGCAGCTCAGGTTGTACAGGGGTGTGTGGGTGAACTCGGGGACTCTCATGGTGGCATGTGCCACCTGGGCTTGGCAGTTAGATCTGCTGTGCCCAGCTGAGCAAAGCGCCTTCCCTTCCGGAGCAGGGGTCTCCTGGTTAAACAAAACCCGAGCTGATATCTGGACAATGCCTTAATAACATGTTTCGTTTTAATTTTTGATCAGCCCTGAAGTGGTCAGGCAGTTGGACTAGATGATCATTGTAGGTCCTTTCTAACTGAAAATATTCTATTCTATCCCCCCACGCATGCAGAGGTGCCGGCCTGCCTCCTCGGGGTGTCTGAGCAAGCAGCTCCATTCGAACCACTCGCTCTGTGGGTTCACAACCTCTGGACAGCTCTGCTGTTTGTGCTCTCCTGGGGTTTTGCCTTGCTCGACCGGGGAGCCTGCGGGCTCACGGTGCTACCTCCGCAGCCCAGTGCTCTGCGCCGGGTCCTGGCTGGGGTCGCCGCTGCGAACCCCTTACCTGCATCAAACCTGACTTGTCCCCTGAGCTCCCTGTGCGTTGTTTTGGTAATGAGGCAGTCAGAGCTGCTGCCTGACCCTGAGAGGCTTTAATTAAAGGAGAGAAGCTCTGCATGAGGGGATGCGCCTGGGAAGGCTGGCCTCTCTCATTAAGCCCTAATTCGCTTTGTGCCACTGGATGAAGAAGTGATTTATTTAAAAGGTTTCCCTGTCCTGTGCTCCTGTCTCAAGTCGTGCAGGGCAGGGTGCAGGCTGTTTGCCTTGTAGTAAGGGTTTGCACAGGAGTGTGCAAATATGCTCCTTAGCTGGCTCCTTTGTTTCCTTTCAGAGTCCTCCCTCTCCTGGGGAAGAAACAAAACCGGCCCTTGTGCGGGCTCCGGCGTGGCTGCGGCGCCTTTGTGGTCAGCTGCTCTCCGAGAGGCTAATGAGACCCAACGGGGTTCAGGCTGTGGTTCGGGGCATCATGGAGGGAACAGGCGGTGAGTAGGGTGCTCTGACGCTGCTCTTGGCTTCCCGGATCGCAGATTAAAAGAGTCTGTGATGATGTGTCTGAGACATTTCATCCCATGAGAGTCCCAGGAAAGACAGTGCCATCGGAGCACTGAAATGGGAAACAGCTTTTGTCAGGTCAAGCTGACTCTGTAACACGCAGATTTTGCCTCCGAGTATGTTAAACTCCCAAACAATGAATGCCTTCCAACTGCAAATGCCTTTAGTTAGAGTACGCCGTCATGTTTGAGGTCCAGACTGAAAGCCTTCAAATTAATTTAGTCTGTTTATGCCTCCATGGGGTCGCACCTCGTGCGTGTACGGAGCATGGTTCGTTCCAAGGAGCTGTGCTGGTGTGGTGGGAGCCGTGCTCGGTGCTGGGCTGTGAGCAACTGCAGGTGGAGTCAGACCTCTCCTGTTCCAGGGCTCGGCAGCCTTGCCACCTTGCTCTCTGTTTCCTGCCAGGGAGGGAAACTGTTGCTCTTCAAAACCTGAATCCCACAGTCTTTAGTGCCAAAGCCTTCTCTGGCCAATACCAACCCGATGGCACCATCCAGGGGTGTCCACCTTTTGGCTCGTGCACCTACTAGTAGAAGTTGTTTTCTGGTATCAAGTGTCTTGGACAGTAGTTTTCCCCCTTCTGCCATTAAATTCAGGTGTCACCTGAAAGGTGCTTGGTTTAAAGAGAGTAATAAAGGCTAGAAATCCAATTTTTGGCCAGAAACATCTGGCTTCAGCTGTCGTTTGCTCTCAGTCTGAGCTGATCTTGGCTTTCTGTTGGTGTAGCAGGTGGCGCTGGTGCTGAAGCAGCAGCTGTGGACTGGAGAAAATGCGACACGGTTGCAAAGATCCTGGCTTCCTGCCCACAGCAGTGCCTTTCCCTCGAGGACTACTACCGACTGGTCTGCCCCCAGGTAGGTTCCTCTCTCCCCGCAGCATGCTGGCTCCGGCTGGGCATGCAGAGCTGTCTCCTGGCTTGGAGAGTGTCAGTACTGCCACTCCTGCTTGAGCGTGGTCTGGCTGGAGCAAGGACAACGTGGAGATGTTTTTCTACTGCTCTGGCAGTGGGACATGTTTCTACCCTGCTCTTGAATTTTCCATATTTGATTGAAATGTTGGATAATGTTGTCTGATCGCGCGAGCTGTTCACTATGTAATGAGGAGCTCTCTGCTGTGGAACTCTTGCTTCCAGTCTTTGGCTGTGGGAGTGGTGCAGGCTCTTGGTTGGAGCCCAGAAACGCATCCTGCGTTAATGTGTGCATGGGAAGGAGATCGGCTCTTCCGTATGTGGAACGTTGTGCCGACCGTCTGGCAAAGCCGCATACAGGAGGCTCCTCAATCTCTGCTGTTGCCCCCCCCCTAAGGGGCTGCTGACCTTTGTTCCTTTATTGTGGACTTTCCTTCCAGATTCTGGACTTGCTCCACATCCAGGACAAACTGACAGCACGCCAGTTCCAGCGAGTGGCCACCACGACACTGCTCACCATGGCGAAAGAGCACCCTCAGCTGGCAGAGAAGCACTTGCTCCAGCCCCTGTTGGCACCGCTCTTGCGGTGCTCGGAGACAGCAGGTACCAGCTGGCCTCTGCCGAGCCCTGGATCAGAGAAGGGTCTGGTTTCTCTTCTTGCTGATCTTTCTCTTTCTTTCCATTCGGATTTTCTCAGGAGCTGGTGGCTGGGCTGCTGAGTGTGCCAGCCCAGCTCTGTCAGTTGTGAATGTGGCTATGTGGCTGCGTGCACCATATTTACTAGCACTTGAGTCAAATTACTATAGTGTAAGAGCCAAGTAGTGGGGCTTCTGTCATTTACTCTTTGGGAATCTCTCCAGTCTGACAGTCTTGTTTTGGGCTTTCGGACGGAAGCCATTGGTTCCCCATGCTGACCGAGCAGATCCCTGGGGAATAATCCATCAAGAAGTTGTGGTCTGCTTTGATTTGCTTGTAACCTTGTGGAGTTTACAACACTGCGGTGATATTTAGCGCAGCTAACAAGGGCTCATCGGTTCCCATGCTGCCTTGATGGAGGAAAGGGAAGGCAACTATCAAAGTGCTTTCTGGTGCTGGGCATGGCAGGGTTGCTATTCTGCTGGAGACTCCTCAGCATGTAGGGTTGCTGATATTTCTGCCCTTTGATTTCAGAGCTAGCAGTGGAAGATTTATCAGCAGGGACTGTGCTGGTGACAGAGGCAGAGCTCGGCAGCTGCGTGGAAGATGTGCTCAAGGTATATCGTGTCTGATTTGGGCCTGAGGGTAGGTGAGAAAAGTACTCCAAGTGAGAGTTGGTTTGAGACTTTCTGAGCAGTTCAGTGTGTCATAGACCATGACAAAAACCATCATCTCCTGCAGTCGTGATGCTGAGGTGAAGCCAAGAGCTGCGCAGAATAACCTTGTATGCAGCACTGCACTGGCGGGACTGCAGCTTTATGCTGGATACCAGAGGCACTGCCTGAATCCTTTCAAGCCTTGTTATCCCAAAACATTCTGCGAGATGGCAGTGAGCTCTTGCTGTGGTTTTGTTTTTTTTTTTCCCCCAGTGTCTTTCTGGTGTCTGAGCAGTGGGCTGGTGGCCAGGAGTCTTCATGGTGCTTTCATATCCTCTTTCTCCAAAAGCTGCAGCAAGACTTTGAGCATTGCTGAATTGTGCAGCTTCTACAGGACCATTGTGTCTGAGTGTACTGTCAGAGCAGCTTCAGGACTCGGGCTGCAATCGTAGAGCAGGTAACCACAGAGCAGGCAGTGCAGTGGGCAGGAGGTCCTGGTCAGAAATACCGTTGGCATGTGTTGCCTTGGGCTGTCAATCCCAGTCTGAGATGATGCCACTCACCTTCCAGTTTTGCAGCTAGTTGCAGGGAAGGACGGATCGCAGGGAATCCTGTGCGTACTGAATCTTCAGAGGTTGCCTGAGCTCTCCTCCCAAGCTGCCACTGGCCCACCCTTCTCTTAGTGCCTCTGTCCCTCAGTTTCCTCCTTGTAGAGCATGGATAATACTCATACCGAGCCCAGTGCTACCTGTGTGGGAGGGAGAACCTGCTGGGAGCTGCTCTCCCTGCCTCCAAGGTCTGCAGAGGGCAGCCTGACCCAGAGTGCTGGATCTGGTAGCCGCTTCTTTGGCATTAACCCCTCACGGAGGGATGGGGCGCAGACAGCTCTTGTGTTGGGCCAAAATCCTTCTGAGTGAGTGACCTGGAAAAGAGGGCACTCGAGGTATCGGCAAGCAGCCGGCTGTGCTGGACTGCTCAGCCCTGCAGTCAGGGCAGCTTGGCAGGGCCCCCAGCACATTGCTCGGTGGTTGTGCAGCCGGCTGCCAGTGAGGCATTCGCAGTGGGCACTAGGAAACGAGCAGATTCAGTGTGGCTCTGAGGCTGCTGAGCTGTCTCCAGGGTGAAAAAGAGAGTGAAGGTGAGCTCAGAGGCATCGCAGAGCTGCAGGGAGAGGTGGGAGAGCTGGCGTGGTTAACCTGGTGGCTGCTGTCGGGAGGCAGAGAGCGTGTGGGTATGCAAAAAGGAGGGTGGGCAGCAGCTCAGCTGCAGGGGAGATGCTGGTAGTGGATGTGTCCTCACCTCAGGTGTCCCAGAAACAGGGGGAGGGACACTGCAGCTGGTCCCCATGGGGTGTCCCCAGTGGTTCATCTTCCCCTGCTGTTATTTCTGAGGGGGCTAAACAGCCTGTCTAGTCCCATTCGACAATTAAGGTAAAATGGTAATGTTAAGTAAGGAAAAATGAGCAGTCTGTTTTGCAGGGACCATTTGGAGCTGAACCCTGTGACACACAGCTTTCTGTGTGCACAAAGTTAATTTTAAAGCTGTGGTGTAAGAGGGCTTCAGCAGCTGCTGCTGAGTGTCCAGCCACCTCCTCTGCTGCCCTGCCTTCCAGAGCTCCTCTTGGCGCCGTACAGTACCTGGAGGTGGCGGTGGGGCCTCGGAGGTGGTCTGTGTGCCCGGCTGCCAAAGCAGGAGGGATTGCTGAAGCTCAGCAGCATTCCCAGCCCTGATCAGGTGCTGGGGGACAGGGAGGGTTCAGAAAAATGGAAGGAAACTTGGATCTCATCAGAGAAGTGCTCTGGCTTTGTCAGTAACAGACCTGCTGTGTTAGAGGAGGTGTCTCGTGGGCAGGACAGTGCAGATTTAGCACCTTCTGTGGAGCTCCTTCCCACAAGGGCTCCCATACAGCAACAAACAGGATGTTCAGCAGTGCAGGTCTTGGCTCCGGTGTTTCGGGGAGAGGTGGGGTCCATTCTTGTTCTCCCTGTGAAGGAACAGGGCTGTTCTGTGGAAGCTGCTCTTCTGAAACCTTCCGTCATAGCACCTTTTTTCCACCATTCCCACCAGTATTCACCAGTGCTGTGCTTCAGGCTTTGCTGCCTGCCCTGACAGCATCCCAGCTTTCTGTTGCGCGTTCCAACCCAGAAGAGGACATCTCCATCCCAGGAATTCAATTTTAAGAAGCTGGTGACTTGCTTACTGGCATGCCCTTAGGCAGGCTAAGCTCTTAAATGCTGTGATTGTTGTAGTATTTCGTGTAGTAATGATCTGTTGTAACTAGCTGGCAGGCAGAGACCAGTCTGGAGGGCTGCTCTGTGGCTGCCGTTCACAATGCGAGTGCTGGGGGAGTTTGGGGCGGATCCCTCCTTAATGGCATAGCGCTGGAGGCCTGACAGCAGCCAGATTAGCGACAGAGACTCCAGCCTGAGGATTTGCGGGGGTTTCTTGCCTAGCAAGTGTCATTTGATGCTGAGAGGGAAACCATCCTTGGGACTTCATCAGGGAGGCTTTGTGTACAAAAGGTTCTGGTTAGGAAGAATGGCTCCACGGGGATTAGCACAGGAAAAAAGGTCTTTTTGCATCAATACAGCAGGGCAGAATATTATCAGGACAATCTCCTTCCTAGCCCTCCTACCTGGGTTGTCACACTGCCTCCAGCAGGCAAAAGCTCTTTGGTCTGTCCCCAGGGCACTTCCAGCCCTGAGCAGATGATTGCTCTCCAGCTGCGGAGATCTGAGGTGTGGGGAGTGCTCTGGTGTGAAGGGACAGCATATTCTGAGCAGGTCGTTCACCAGCTGACACAGCTGGAAGTCCCTTGGAGAACTTGTGAAAGGACTTTATTCCCCCACACCACCTCACCCTTTTTTAAAAACTGAAAGCTATGGAAGGAGATAGAGCCTGCTAAAATGAGGACCTGAACACAACAACCCTGAGTAAACCCTGCGTCTGGCTGGGCAAGGCTTGGTATTTAACAATTTTCTAAACTGAGTCTTCCCAGCGTTATGGGACTTAAAGCACCTTACCTGGCTTTTAGTTTTGGACAATTTCTTTCAAAGGATTCAAAAGGAAACACAATGTCACAAGAATTCTGTGAGTGTTTTTCCTGTGCTCTGCCGGCAGCAAGGTGGGACCTGTGTGTGGTGAGCTGGTAACCGTGGCTTGCCTGGGAAAGGGGGTGCTGGTTTTGTGGAGGAGGGCAGTGACAGTAGTTCAGGAGGGTGCTGCTTGAGATGGCAGAGAGGAGCGCGGCCCTACAGCCTCCTCAAAGCCCCTGCAACCCACTTATTCAGCTCGGCACGTCAGCCCAGCTGCCCTGCTAGGGACTGATCTCTGTATTTGAGATTTGGCTCTAGGTGCAGTATTTCCATAAAGATTTACTAATTCAAAGGTGCCTGTTGCATCTCTCTGTAGCGCAAAACCTTACCCCTAAGCAGCAGACTTCCTGCATAGTTAGCTGCATTGTTCCTGTAGCTTGGAGCCCTGATGTGGTTAAACAAATGCTGGGAGAAAGATAGTACTGAAGGCTGCTTTTAATACAGAATATGGCATAATCAGGGAAAACAGGCTTCAGACTGAAAGGAACAGAGGCTGAAAACCCTCTGCCATCCTCCCTGGTGGCAGCCGTTCTGCGCTGAGGCGCGCTTTCTGTCCTTCCGTTTGGCTTCCCCCTGCTCCACGCAGGTGTTTGACTGTGCTCCCCGTGCCCTTCTCTCCGTAGGTGTATGTGGTTGGAAATGACAGCTCGAGCCTGCTGCTGGGATCCTTACACTCAGTCCTGGGAGTGGTTTTTTCCCTCTATTCCTTCGCCAAGCAGAATGTGTCATACTTACGGTAAGGAAGGATTGTGCGTGACTTCTGGGGTTTCATCTGCTCTGTTCTACCCACCTCCTAAGGATGAGCTCTGTATGGGCACATAGAGAAGCTGAGGCCAATTTGCTCACCCTGAAGAGCTCTCATTCAACGAAGGCAATACACCGTGCCTATGCCTGTGGTTATGACCTTACTGGCAGACCTGTGCCTGAGGAAGCAGTTCTCGAATTAGTTTGTGTCTTCCCTGAAGCCAGAATGTTCGGTGTAGAGACAAGCGTGCCCTGTGGGCCCCTCGGGAGCATAGGTTAACTCTTAGTGCCCACCTGGGAGCAGGGATTGTGATTGTCTGCGGACAGAGATGGTGACACTGGGACCTGGCTGGGTGTCAGAGGGATCTGTGTACCAGGGATTTAGAAACAGGATAAAAACTAGATAAAACGGCTGGAGCGCTGGCTTTTGGAAATACAAGATCATTCTTCTCCATTCTGGGATCACTCTCTTTCAATACGTGCAGGACCTGCCTCTCGGCAGCTGTCCCTCGTGCTGTGCCCAGTTCCCCCACGACTGACGTACGATGGTAAGCACCACATGTGTCAGTCACGGTGGCAGGGACAGTGGTGACCAGGTGCTGGCTGTCCTCTCTCCTTTCCCCTCACAGGCTTTCCCTGTCCGGAGTTTGGGCCAGCCTAGTAAATACACTCCTGGTGGGTTTACACTTTGCTTTGGTGATAATGGCATGTGGGTACTGGAGGCTTTCCCTAAAAGGTCTATGTAGACACAGCTTCTGCTATTATTAAAGACATCGTTAATCACTTCAAAGAGTAGTGAGTGCTGTGGCAAGTTTGTAGAACAAGCCAAGTTAGCACTGCTGCTGGGTGAACAGAGTCGCTGCTCGCTTCTCTCTTTGCAGAGGAATTTGGCAAGGGTAACTAAAACCACAGCTGCCTGGAAGCGTTCAGGTTTCCAGACCCCTGGCACAGTGCTGCTGCTCCACTTCATTAACCTGCATCTTTCCTTGGCAGGGGTTTCTGTGCCACCTTACAGTGCTCCCTGTCTCCTTCCTCCTCTTCCTTGGCACAGCTGACAGCTCTGTGCTTTGTCATGTTGGCGTGAAGCACCAGGCTGAGGCTGCGTGGAAGTGGCTGTCCTTGTACAGACACGTTGTTCAGACAGAGTGCTCTCTTCCTCGCTGGGCTGAGATCTTGAAGGACCCAGATCCTTCCATCTGGGCACGGCAGAAGGACAGGATGTGCTGCTGTTCCCCTTATAAACTGACACAAATGCCTTCAGCTGCTGGAGCTGTCAGCCCAGAGCATCCCAAGGAGTGTCCATAGCCGCTCCAGAGCACTCTTGTCTTTTCCCTCACCCCGAGACATGCGGTCCTGTTGGAGTACTGGTGTGCATGGAGGGGTGCAGTGGGTGGAGGAAGGTCACTATTGCTTTCTCTCTCCTTGCCAGCTCCCCGTGCCAGGAAATCTTGCTGTGGTTCTTGGAGAAGTCAGAGCGAGAGGTGTCACTGGCCGTGCTGGAAGGCTTTGCAGGGCTGAACAGCAGCGTGCATGCCCTCCACCCGCAGTGCCGGTTCCGTGTGGGCAGTGAGGGTGGTGCCACCATCGCAGTGGAGGAGATCATCAGGTGAGTGCTGTTGGGGCAGTGCCTGGTGTGAGGGCAATCCCCAGGCATCATTCCGCATGTAGGGCTTTTCACGGCATGCCTGGCAGAGAGAGCCCAGGCAAACGTGGGGCTGCTGGTGCTGTCTCGCCACGATCTCGTGCCCCCAGGCGCCCAGGCTGTCTGCACCGAGCTTGGGCAGGTGATGCTTCCACACAGCCTCTGGGTTCCTTGTACATGGCGCAGAGCTCTAACTTTCAGCCCTGAAAAGCAGCACGCTCTGTCTGAGTGTTAGTGTGCCCTCTCTGTGTGCTTTTCCTGAGTCCCTCATGCTGCCTGCCAGGTATCTGGGAATGGGATATACTCCTTCAGTCCCAACGCTCCCCAAATTCAGCTTCTGCCCTCCAGCCTGGGCCTGTGTCATGGCAGATCACGGCTGCGTGGAGCGAGTGGAATCCCTCGGGCGCAGGTGGCACCGTTGCAGCAAGGACGCTAACGATGCCAGTGTGGTGGAGCCAGCAACTGAGCTCCCCTCCTGCTCTTGCAGATGGTCTCTACAAGTAGAGGCAGAGCGTGGCCATGTGGGGAATAAACTGCAGCCATTAGACTCCAGCCACGCAAACTGGGACCGTTCAGCAGCATGACATTTGGTTGAAAGAGGGGTAGCTGTTAGTTGGCAGTACGAGCCCAAGGCAGCGCTATCAAGCAGGCAGAGCGCACAGCTCCTGCCCAGGAGTGTCCGTGGGGTGGGTGTGCCGGGTGCTCTCTGCACCCGTAACAAAAACCTCTACAAATACACTTGTTTTGGTTTCATTTCAATCTATTTCTGACCTGAATTAGAAGAAGGTCTGCCCCAGGGTCTGCACTGGTTAAACTGGGTATACTTTAAAATTACTGTTTAACGGCCATGTCTGTGCCGGTGTCTGTCCTACTTTTATGGCTATGACCACTGCATGAATTAGCCAGTGCTAATCCTGTTCTTTATAGGATGGCTGAATTAAATGTGTGTTTTGCACTCGTGATTTCTGTTGATGTTATTTCTTTAATGAGTGCAGGTTAATTAATAAACTGAGTGCGTGATCACGTAGACCAAATGAACTGAGCAATAGTTTGGCTCAGCTGCCTCCAGGCTTCAGCTTTCTGGTAGTGCTGCAAAGGAAGGTTTCCAAGAGAAGGCAGAAGTGGTATTTCACCTTGCCGTGGAGTAGTTTAGAGCCAGCCCTGGAGGGGGTGTGGGTACATTCGTGTTGGTGACACAGTGACCTGTTTCAGCGATGAAGATGAGGCCCTGTACCAGAAAGTTTCCTCGGAGCAGTGCCGTGTGGAGAGCTTGGTGGAGCTCTTGTCTCACTGCCAGAGGAGTGGTCTAGCTGGAGACTTCTTCATCCGCTGCCTGAAGGTAAGGGCAGGCAAGTCTCTGTTTGGGGCACATCTGCAGGAATGGTTTCCCTAGGTCCAGCAGTCCATGTGGCAGACGACAAAGGGGACTGAGTGTCCCCTTACGCGCCTCAGGAGCACTGAGCCAGGGTACGGCACGTGTTGGAGCAGTCCTGCTGTGTGCCGGGCAGGAGAGCTTGGGAGAGGGAGGAAGCCCTGGTCCCTGGAGGGGTTAACGCTCGTTCCTCTTGGGCTCTTTCGACAACAGGAGCATGTCTGAAGTTTAACGGTGTGTTTGAGGTTGTGAAAAAACCTTGTTGCTTCCTTGGCTCTAGTGGGACACCTTCTCCTTTTGATCCTGCTCCGAGACCCTCTGGTTCCCTCACAGCCTTGCCTGGGCTGGGCTGTGCTTTCTGTGCCCTTGCTGGCAGGTAGAGCCCTGTCCCATAGTCGTGCTGGGTTTGCAGCACCCTGGGTGTAGGGACGCTGCTGTGACACAGGTGGGACGCCCAGAGGCTGTTGGCAGCTCCTGGAGACCTTGATGTACTGAGTGGAAGGTCCTGATTGCATGAGGAGTCAGCGTGAGGTCTACAAAGAGGACAGGGGATCCGGGTGCCTTTGTGAGCGCTGAAAGCAGGGCTGCCAGCAGAGACCAGCAAACCTCATAGCACAGGGGATGGTTGGCCTGAGGAGAAGTGCTCGGTGGTGTTCTGTGTGGTGTCCACGGGGACAGAGGTTTGCGAGGGTCTGGCCTGCTGACAGGCATGTATGTGGAACGAGATGAGGCTGGAAGAGTGGAGGTAATCGGGAGCCCTTTGCAGCAGGCTAGAGGTGTGGGTAGCGCAGACCTGCTGCGCCCAGGACCGCTGACGTGGTGATTTGCCTGTGTTTAACCGTTGCCCCTCTGTGCCCTGTGCTTCCTTCCCGGCAGGCGCTGACTTGCGTGGCTGCAGAGGACGAGGAGGCTTCCAACTTGGCTGCAGTGCCTGGAGGGAGTCTCCTGGAGTTGGAGCAGTACCACGCTGTGCAGAGGAGGAAGCTGTTGGTCCTGCAGCTCGTGGCCACGCTGTGTGAGAGCGTCTCGGACACCGTGTTCACAGACATTGCTCAGGTTGGTCATGGTAAAGCCCAGGAGTGCGTGGCAGACCGAACTCTGGGCTGCTGGGCTCTAAGGAGAAAGCGGCTAAGAAACAGCTGGAGAAAGCTAGAGCATCTCCAGGAAAAGCAGTTTATTGATTCAGTTGGAAGTGTCTCAACAAGACACCGTCCTGTGCGGTGCCAGCAGGAAGGACACAGTCAGCTGCAGAGACAGGAGGGAGCAGCCCAGCAGATGTCTTCGGATTTGTGTCCGTGGTTGTGTATTAAAAGCCAAGAGAGTAGTCTGTGTGTTAATCAGAACTTGGACTTGCCACCTTCTCATCATTATTTTGAGCAAAATTTATTACTAAATTTAACAAAGCTTAATGACATCTGTACCCGCCAGACCTTTTAAGTGAATGCTTGCTGCCTATCCATGGTGTTGGTGCCTGTTTTTTCTGGCACATCTCGGCAGCCACGTCTGGGCGCTGTGGTAGCTGGGCTGGCAGTGGGATAAACATGGCACGGCACCACCACCGCATCCTACTTGCCCCATGTCTCCAGATAGGCCGTTCATGGCTTTTCTCTGTTTTCTGATGCTGGGATGCCCACACTGAGTGTTGTGTCCAGTCATCAGGGTTGGCACGATCGTGCTTGTACCGTCGGCACTTGTCCATGTCTTCATAAATGTGCAGCTGCAAAATTGATTCAGTATCATTCAAAGGCCAGCCGGGGGCTCCTTGAACCCGCTACCAAAACGGGTTGTTAAAATATGGCACTTCTGTCCACCCTGAGCCCACGCTGCAGCAGCGCTGAAGGGAATCAATTATCCTGCACCGTGCCAGGTCGGGAAGGCTGTTGGGCGCTGAGGAAAGCACGGTATTCCCCAGCTGATCAATGTATTTTAACTTCCACATCCTGCTTTGGTTTGGGGTTTGTTTGCTTTTTGTGTTTTGGGTTTTTTTGTTTGGTTTTTTTTTTTTTTTAAATCCGTGGCCTGGTTATGCAGTTAACTGTGGC